GCCACATTGTGTTCTGACTTTGAAGCTGATTGGTGAGTGATGGTCACTGCCTGCCTTCCTTACATGTAGGTACCTCCCCCATCTCGCTAAAAACTTCCTCGGCACCCCTCCACCATACACTCCTGGCTGCACTCAGTCTACAGGCCACATCCTCAGTGTCCTCTCCCATCACCCTACCCACCCGTTCTCTCTCTGCTCAGGTTTGGCTGTTGACTACTTTGACGGAGGGAAAGATCAGGTAAGTACCCGTTCATCAGCAGAGAGGTTCAAGACTTAATGAAAGGGAAGAAAAAGGTTGTTAACAAAGACTGAACCCAAATTCCAGAGCAGAGCCTCTCCCTCATTCCCCAGCCTGTGCAATCTCCCTTTCAGATAGCACTGAGCAAGGATCAACAAACCTAATTTGCCCAGGATCCAGCTCTTGCACAAAGTCCAGAGATCAATGCCAGCAAGGCATTTGCTACAGCAGCAACAGCCAGCTATGGACACACATACGCATTTCCACAAGAAGCAACTATTTGTCATCCCCCAAAGAGAAGGCTATTTGAAGAACCCCAGTCAGTGGGGCACACGGGTGGGGAACACTCAAACTGGCTCTTGTGGGGAGATTCAAGGCTATCCTGAACCATGCATTCTCTTCTTGGCATAGAATTCCTTGTCCTCTGAGCAACAGAAATATGCCATACGGGGTGTTCCTTCCCTGCTGGAAGTTGCTGGTTTCTCCTACTTCTATGGGGCCTTCTTGGTAGGGCCCCAATTCTCAATGAATCACTACATGAAGCTGGTGCAGGGAGAGCTGACTGACATACCAGGAAAGATACCAAACAGGTAATCGCCCCTCTTGGTCCAGATGTTCATGTAGGTATTGCACTCACTCTCAAGTGACTCTTCTGAAAGCTGCATTCTCCAGCATGACCCTGGCATAGAGACCTGTGCCATGCAGGCCCTGGACTGTTGTAATGGATACTCTGTGCCAGGAGTGGGCCCTTTTTAGTTGAGGGTTCTTCTAGCTATCTGACACTGGTACCAACATAAAAATCCACGTTCATGCCACAGGATTTTGTCTGAACCAGTCACATTTCTGCCTTTAAAGCCTATTTTCACATATATATGAAATGTATTTATGATTGATAGGTAGATAGGTAGGTAGGTAGGTAAAGGCTGGGCACAGTGGTTTCACCTCTGTAATCCCAGCACTTTGGGAGGCTGAGGTGGGAGGATCGCTTGAGCCCAGGAGTTCTAGACCAGCCTGGCAACATAAACTCTGTCTCTACAAAAAAATACAAAAATTAGCAGGCATAGTGGCATGTGTCTGTAGTCTCAGCTATGTAGGAGGCCGAAGTGGGAGGATTGCTTGAGCCCAGGGGAGGTGGGTCAAGGCTGCAGTGAGCTTTGATCACACCACTGCGCTCCATTCTGGGCGAGATAGCCAAATCCTGTCTCAAAAATACTTATCAGTAGGAAATGTAGGAGGGCACAGTGGCTCATGCCTATAATCCCAACGCTCTGGGAGGCCAAAGCAGGAGGATCACTGGAGGCCAGGAGTTCAAGCCCAGCCTGGGCAACGTAGTGAGACCCCATCTCTACAAAAAAAAATTATCCAGGCAAGGTGGTACATGCCTATAGTCCTAGCTACTCAGGTGGCCAAGACAGGAGGATCACTTGAGCCCAGGAGTTCAAAGCCACAGTGAGCAATGACTATGCCTCTGTACTCTAGCCTGAGTGGCAGAGCAAGACCCTGTCTCTAGAAAATAAAAATTTTAAAGGTAAAAAAAAAAAAAAGTTGGCCGGGCGCGGTGGCTCAAGCCTGTAATCCCAGCACTTTGGGAGGCCGAGACGGGCGGATCACAAGGTCAGGAGATCAAGACCATCCTGGCTAACACGGTGAAACCCCGTCTCTACTAAAAAATGCAAAAAACTAGCCGGGCAAGGTGGCCGGCGCCTGTAGTCCCAGCTACTCGGGAGGCTGAGGCAGGAGAATGGCGTAAACCCGGGAGGTGGAGCTTGCAGTGAGCTGAGATCCGGCCACTGCACTCCAGCCTGGGCAACAGAGCCAGACTCCGTCCCAAAAAAAAAAAAAAAAGTTTTATTGCCAAAAGAATTCCTTCACTGAGAACTTGTCCATCCTGTGTTTCAGCATCAATTCAACCAAGAAATGAAGGAGCAGATTCAAAGTGGTTATTTTTATTCTCCACTGGGTTTTCAGTCCCAATGGAGATTGTGAAACCTGGCAAGACCTTGAGATCAGTAGCATCCCTGAGGGGTAAACACAAGACTGGTCCACTATCTGCTGCCCTGACCTTCCCACAACTCTTAGAGGTTTGCAGTCCCCATTCCTCATAGCCAGCCATAGAAATCTTTCCCTGAAACAGGAAACACTTTGGGCAGCAGAGCTTCTCATCCCATTCCAGGTAGACAACCACACCCCTAAAAACTCCTCTCCATAACTGAAGGTCAGAGGGTGAAGGGAATAGTCTGTGCTCTCTGTGACCAGGAACTTCACTCGTTCCTTTCCAGCACCATTCCTGCTCTCAAGCGCCTGAGTCTGGGCCTTTTCTACCTAGTGGGCTACACACTGCTCAGCCCCCACATCACAGAAGACTATCTCCTCACTGAAGACTATGACGTGAGTGTCTACTAAAGCAGCAGCAGCATGACCGCACCAGAGCTAGAAAATGGACAGGCAAGGATCCCTATAGATAGTAGAGAAGTAGGAAATATCATCTACAAATGCTCTAGATCTGTGAGTTGGTGTCAGTGCCAGCCGGGCCGGGACACATTCATTGGCCAGCACTGAATGACCTTCGTGGGCACAGGGCTGTGCCAGCTGCACATTTAGCACCCCTTGCCTTCTCTAGGAGCCACTCCTAGCTTGCCTTATCACATCCACGTGACCCCTCAGAGCACAGCAGCTTCTGATTCTCCAGCCTATTTTCTTCTCTTGACTGATACATTTGGGCGCTTCTAGGGAATTCAGAAACCTAGGGAAGCGGGAAGTGCTGGCTTTTGCTCCTGCCCAGCTGAAAAACTTGAAAACAGTTCAGTAATTCTGGGCAGGTTTCTCTCCTTAAATTTAAATCCAATATGGGCCCCTCCGTACTTAACATTCCAAATGCTCATTCCAAAAACTTCGCCAACGAAGGCAAACAGTAGAGGAGTTAAACACAGTGCTGCCCTTGGGGCTCTCCAAGGGAAAGGTGAATGAATATTCTCCAGGCCCTCTGCTTCTTCCTGTCTGCCTGTTGTGAAGGCAATCAGGCCAGACTATTGGGGACATCTGGCAGCAGGCCTTAGGCAGGTATGAAGTAGCCAGCCACAAGTGTGAAAAGGAAGAGTGCTAAGAGAAACTGCCTAGTCATGCCATATCCCTAATGCCCTGTGCTTTCTTCTCTCAAGAACCACCCCTTCTGGTTCCGCTGCATGTACATGCTGATCTGGGGCAAGTTTGTCCTGTACAAATACGTCACCTGTTGGCTGGTCACAGTAAGTAGAAAAGTTGAAACCGGGTCCTATTTAGACGAGCCATGGAGGCCAGTGTGGGGGGTGGCAAGAGCCCTAACTGAGCTATTCCCTCTCAGGAAGGAGTATGCATTTTGACGGGCCTGGGCTTCAATGGCTTTGAAGAAAAGGGCAAGGCAAAGTGGGATGCCTGTGCCAACATGAAGGTGTGGCTCTTTGAAACAAACCCCCGCTTCACTGGCACCATTGCCTCATTCAACATCAACACCAACGCCTGGGTGGCCCGGTGAGCTGCTGGTGGGGAGCCTGGACCCTGGTTCCTTCCTTCCACTGTCTTCCCAGATTGGAGGGCAGGGGTGTACCATGTTCACCCTTATGCGTCTTTCCCACCTGGGCAGAACCCCCTGTCACTCACACAGACTTTGATCCCCACCTATACCCCCCAAAAAAAAAACATTCCTGTCATTTGAAAAAAAGGCAAGATACAAAAGTGCGTTGAGACCTGGGTGTTACTCCAGCTCTGCCAATGGACTTATGTCCTCCACTGCCCTGTTTATAAACAGCTTGACTTGTTTGTCCCCACCACTAGAGTGTGGGCAGCTTGAGTGTCTGGTTCACCACTGATCTCGGCATCAGCACTCAGTCACTGCTGCTGAACCAAGTGACTCGTGCGCACACGGTCTCCAGCTCCGCCTTGGGTCTGCTTTCCATCTCTAAAATTAATCAGTCAGCACTGCCTCCTATACCCTCTGGGGGCTACACGTGGGAGCCCATCAGCACTCCACTCCAATCCTCAGGGTGAGGACCCAGAGGCAGGTGGCGGGATGCAAGGACCAGTCAGTTTGAGGGTCGCCCCACCCACCCTTTTCTCCAGCTACTTCTTCAAACGACTCAAGTTCCTTGGAAATAAAGAACTCTCTCAGGGTCTCTCGTTGCTATTCCTGGCCCTCTGGCATGGCCTGCACTCAGGATACCTGGTCTGCTTCCAGATGGAATTCCTCATTGTTATTGTGGAAAGACAGGTAGGCCTCCAGGGTGGGGGTGAAGGGGGATATGAGGGACAAGATGCTGATGAGCTCCTCCTCCCTCCCCAGGCTGCCAGGCTCATTCAACAGAGCCCCACCCTGAGCAACCTGGCCGCCATTACTGCCCTCCAGCCCTTCTACTATTTGGTGCAACAGACCATCCACTGGCTCTTCATGGGTTACTCCATGACGGCCTTCTGCCTCTTCACGTGGGATAAATGGCTTAAGGCAAGTGAAGGCCTGCTTATAAGACTGGGAGGGACTCACTGCAACCTCGGGCAGCGAGCGATGCTCCATGCCTGTCTACCTCAGTGGCCTCTCTCTCCACAGGTGTATAAATCCATCTATTTCCTTGGCCACGTCTTCTTCTTGAGCCTACTATTCATATTGCCTTATGTTCACAAAGCAATGGTGCCAAGGAAAGAGAAGTTAAAGAAGATGGAATGATCCATCTCCCTGGTAAGTGAGTACAGCTAAGCTAAAACCACCACCAGGTTACAGAATAGAGCAACAGACTGGGGAAAAAAATAGTATTAGAAATCTGGGGTGAATTCCAAGGATTAGCCTGGCTACCAAGGGACACAGTATGGGCAATGACTGCTGTGACTTACTGAGGCATGCTAGGAAACATCTGGAAGGGCTACAGACCAGGAAGTAGGGGAGTAACTAACCAGCCTTCCAATCCTATGTCTTGTCTTGCAGGTGGCCTATGCAGGACTGGTGCAGAAACTACTTATCTCCCTTTTCATAGCACTCCTTTGCCCCAGAGCACAGAGAATGGAAAAGCCAGGGAGGTGGAAGATCGATGCTTCCAGTTGTGCCTCTGCTGCCAGCCAAGTCTTCATTTGGGGCCAAAGGGGAAGCTTTTTTTTTGAAGAAGGAGTCTTGCTCTGTCACCCACGCTGGAATGCAGTGGCGCGATCTCAGCTCACCGCAACCTCCACCTCCCAGGTTCAAGTGATTTTCCTGCCTCAGCCTCCCAAGTAGCTGGGAATACAGGCGTGCCACCACGCCCAGCTAATTTTTGTATTTTCAGTAGAAACGGGGTTTCACCACGTTGGCCAGGCTGGTCTCGAACTCCTGACCTCAAGTGATCCGCCCGCCTCCGCCTCCCAAAGTGCTGGGATTACAGGCGTGAGCCACCATGCCTGGCCCAAAGGGGAAACTCTTGTGGGAGGAGCAGAGGGGTCCACATCTCCCCTCTGGCTCCCCCATGAACATTGCCTTATCTCTCCCCATCTAGCCAGGAATCTATTGTGTTTTTCTTCTGCCAAGTTACTATGATTGTGTATGTGCCGCTACCACCACCCCCCCCATGGGGGGGCGGAGAGGGGTGCGAGGCCCTACCTGCTCCACTTTTTCTACCTTGGAACTGTATTAGATAAAATCACTTCTGTTTGTTCAGTTTTTCACCACCAGCATTCCTGACTGCTGTCTTTCACAGTTCTTCTCCACCCTTGCCGTGGCTGATTATCAGGGTTCTCTCCTTTAGCGCACAGGAATCTAGGAGCTAAAGCCTGCCTTCAAAGCATGGAACCAAACTGTAAACTCTGTAACCTCGTATCTGTCCCTGAAGTCCCAGGGGAACAAACAGTTTTACACCATTAGATACTTTAGGAACCCCAAAACAACCAGGTTTGCAAGAACAGTATTCATAGGATAAACAAATAGCAAATGTACAGCCTTGGCTTCCCCAAACTCCAGTCTCAGTGCAGAAAGATCATCTTCCAGCAGTCGGCTCAGACCAGGGTCAAAGGATGTGACCTCAACAGTTTCTGGTTTCAGAACGGGTTCTACTACTGTCAAATGACCCCCCATACTTCCTCAAAGGCTGTGGTAAGTTTTGCACAGGTGAGGGCAGCAGAAAGGGGATAGTTGCTGATGGACACCATCTTCTCTGTATACTCCACACTGACCTAAGAAGAGAACAGTTTTGTCAGCCAACTCTCACTCAGTAGCTGTTTCAACCCTTCTTTAGGTCAGGAAAACTATGGCTGAGCTAGTATTTCAGCTGTGCTGTTGAATATCAAATTCCTACAAAGGATGAAGAAGGTCCTAACTGTGACTATTACAAATATGGCAGCAGTCCTCAAAGGATGTGCACTGGGGCAGGGAGTGAAACTGTCATGTGTCTTTAGCTCATTGTAAGCATTGTTACTGCTCTGGGAATTCTATACTAAGTTCAGCTCTACCAAGAACCTCAGGGTTGAGCCCAGACCTTACCTTGCCATGGGCAAAGGCCCCTACCACAAAAACAATAGGATCACTGCTGGGCACCAGCTCACGCACATCACTGACAACCGGGATGGAAAAAGAAGTGCCAACTTTCATACATCCAACTGGAAAGTGATCTGATACTGGATTCTTAATTACCTAAAGTAAAAAAGAGAAAAGTCAGCCCCAGAAACATTCCCAGAACCAACCTTCAACTAGTAGGTTTCAATACCTCACCTTCAAGAGCTTCTGGGGGCCATCAGCTGCTCGAACACTGAGCTTGTGTAAAAGTTGAACTAGAAGGGGGAAAAAGAGTTCAGAGGTAAATGGAGACCATAGTCCTTCTCTGTCCAGTCATTATCTAACAAGGAAAACCCCATAGGTAAGATGAGTTCCCTGTGTGCTCTATATCCAGACTGGACTCCTGAAATGTTAGGAACGAACAGTTGCCAAGCATATGGCTAGCTGTACAGTGATAGGTTCAGACTCCCTCTTTCACTCAGCCAGGAAGCTACTGCAAGAACAGGAGAGTGGAGTTTCCACAAACAGAAAAATAATAAGAGTCCTTGTCCTGGTATTAATCATGTTGTTCTCCCATCTCCTCGCTTAAAAATCCCACATTTAGTTCTCCCTTTTCCTCTTCCTCCCTTCTTCCCTACAGACAAGTTCATTCTGAACTTTGTTCTAAAGCTTCTTACCCATGAGGCCACAAAAGCGGTCAAAGGTTCTGGGAATTCGGGTCTGGGGATTCACTTCAATCAGAACATTCTTCTGTGTATGGATATAAACCTGTAGCAAGCCAGCTCGGTTCAGGGGACTATCCATCAGCATCAGCAAACTCTGAACAAAGCAGAAACCACAGCATGGTTAAGGCTGAAGAGAGGCAGCACTCAGCTGCCAACCCTTCCAAACAGAGGCTCAAAGGGTTGTGAGCACTGTCCCTGGAGTTACCTGGTGGGCGATGTCTGGCCGCACTTCCCCAGGGTCCCGTCCATTCTTCAACAATATAGACTTGTGCTTGTCACAGTTGAGTAGCTCATATGTCTTCCCTACCTGAAGAACAGGGAACATGACCAAAGAACAGCATTACCTAGCCCACCACCACCAGCAGCTGCACCTGGAAACCTGTTAGGCAAATTCTCAGGCCCACCCTAGACCTACTAAACCAAAAACACAGGAGGTAGAGCCCAGCAAGCCCTTCAGGAGATTACTGTGCAGCCATATTTGCACTCCCCAGTAAATGGTCTTAGAAACAGGAGAAAGGGCACAACCTGTGACTTCACATTACCTACCAATACACTGGATTTAATTTAAAAACCTGTGGCTGTTAGGCAAGGCCAATGAGACATCCTGGAACTAGGCAGGAGTTAGTAGTTAGTGAGCAAGGCTGAATGCTTTGTTTATCACAGGGGCAGTATGTATGTACTATGCAAAACATACCATCACTACCATCAGTTTGTGTACACCAAACATGCACTAAGTGAAGAGCTGCAAATCTGAACAAGAAGAAATGTGAAAATTCTAATGATGCAGGAGGCAGCTGAATCAAAGAAAACGCAGAAGTAAAATGAAGAGGGGTTATTCCCAGTTTTAAGACTGGCATGGGGACAGGAGCAGTGGCTCACGCCTGTAATCCCAGCACTCTAGGAGGCCAAGGAAGGCAAATCACTTAAGGTCAGGAGTTCAAGACCAGCCTGGGCAACATGGCAAAACCCCATCTCTACTAAAAATACAAAAACTAGCTGGGTGTGGTGGCATATGCCTGTAGTCTTAGCTACTTGGGAGGCTAAGGTGGGAGGATGGCTTGAGCCTGGGAGATGGAGGTTGCAGTGAGCCAAGATTGCACCACTTTACTCCAGCCTGGGTGACAGAGCAAGACCCTGTCAAAAAAAGAACAAAAAAGATTGGCATGAGCAGAGGTACAGTTAGAATCAAGAAAAAGTAGCTAGGTGTGGTGGCTCATGCCTGTGATCCCAACAAGTTAGGAGGCCGAGGCGGGAGGATCACTTGAGCCCAGGAATTTGAGACCGGCCTGGGCAACACGGTGGGGCCCTGTCTCACCAAAAAAAAAAAAAAGAAAAAACAGGTGCAGTGGCATTTGCTGGCAGTCCCTGCTCTCAGGAGGATGAGGTGGGAGGACTGCTTGAGCCAGGGAGGTAGAGGCTGCAGTGAGCCATCACACCACTGCACTCTGTTGCCTGGGCAACAGAGCGAGACCCTGTCTCAAAAAAGAAAAAAGAAAAAGAGACGAAGAAAGGAAATTTTGAGGAAAATTGGGAGCTGGGACACTGAAGGGCAGTGATTATATATGAAGCTGCTTTGTAAACCACAAAATCCTAATGTATCGAGCACAAAGCCAAAAATAATTCTGGAGTAAGAAGGGCAGGATGGGAATGACTGACAGCCACTATCCTAACAACTCTGTGTACACTGAAAAAGACATCAGAAGTTTGATGATAAAGAAGTGGACTACATCTGTAGCAGCTAAAAGAAAGAATTCCAAGTTGCAATTTGGAGTCCCAAGGAGCATTAGGGTGGTCAGTAAAAAGCCTAAAAACAAACTGTTATATACAAATACAGGTTTTGGAAGACTAAGTTTTTATGTATCACTAGAATGTTTGTATATGTCTAGCAACATTCTTGAGATACATGGCTCCAAAAAGTCTGCAAAAAAAGGGATACAGATTTTGAAATTGAATAGTTGAAGTAGCAATGTCACAGAGTAAGCACAAAGAAAGAACAAATGACGAAGAACTAAGTCCATGAGACATCCTTAGTTATAGAAGAAAAAACCTTCTTGAATGAATAATAGTTTCAACCCATTAGTAGGATATAACCATGTTTTCTATTCCTTTAATAGATTACAGGTGCAGGCCAGTAATCCCAGCTACTCTGGAGGCTGAGGCAGGAGAATCGATTGAACCCGGGAGGCGGAGGCTGCAGTAAGCCAAGATCATGCCACTGCACTCCAGCCTGGGAGAGACTGAGGCTCTGTTTCACACACACACACACAAAGTGTATTTAGAACGAAGACTAAAATCCTGATCTGACTTCTAAACCCATGCAATTTCTCCTGGGCCTACTCATTGAATTATTTCTAAAGGGTAAGAGAAAGGAGGAAGAACATTGCCCAAGGCTTTAAGATAGAGAATTGCTGGTTCTATTTATTACATGTGGAGAAAGACATGAATGATAGATAAAAATGCAGACGTAAAAGTGTTAAACAATAACCTGGTCTGGACAGTGTTTCCAGGTGGATATTAGAGAGAGGTGACTATGGACACTAATGAATTGAAACATGAAGCCCTTACAAAAAGCGAGGGCAGACTAGGCTACATAACTACCTTTCTTTTTTTTTTTTTTTTTTTTTTTTGAGACGGAGTCTCGCTCTGTCGCCCACGCTGGAGTGCAGTGGCGCAATCTCGGCTCACTGCAAGCTCCGCCTCCCGGGTTCACGCCATTCTCCTGCCTCAGCCTCCCGAGTAGCTGGGACTACAGGCGCCCGCCACTGCGCCCGGCTAATTTTTTCTATTTTTAGTAGAGATGGGGTTTCACCATGGTCTCGATCTCCTGACCTTGTGATCCGCCCGCCTCGGCCTCCCAAAGTGCTGGGATTACAGGCGTGAGCCACCGCGCCCGGCCTACATAACTACCTTTCTCATCTGCCCAGTAACTTGGGATGTGGAATGACGCAACAAACGAAACTTTCCTCTCCTTAGACTACTGTATCACAGAATCCTGGTAAACCAGTTGGAAGCAAAGAGGTGAGGGCTGGAATGGCATTCAAGAAGAGCAAAAGAAAATGAGTACTACCGGCCGGGCACGGTGCCTCACGCCTGTAATCCCAGCACTTTGGGAGGCTGAGGCAGGCGGATCACTTGAGGTCAGGAGTTCGAGACCAGCCTGGCCAACATAGTGAAACCCCATCTCTACTAAAAAAAAAAACCCAAAAAATTAGCCGAGCATGGTGGCGCGTGCCTGTAGTCCCAACGACTCGAGAGGCTGATTCAGGAGAATTGTTTGAACCTGGGAGGCAGAGGTTGCAGTGAGTCGAGATCGCGCCACTGCATTCCAGCCTGGGCGCCAGAGCGAAACGCCGTCTCAAAAAAAAAAAAAGAAAGAAAGAAAAATGAGCACTACCATCCCAGGATGTCAGATCAACGCACAGCCAACCAACCCATCTTCCTTCAAATGCATCTTTCACCCCTCTCTGCTTTCTCCATCCACTCTGAGCCCCTCACCCTCATTCCACGGATCCCAGTCTATTGATTTACTACTTATCCACTTCCTGTCCCAAACTACCTTGACTGTCTCCAGACTGGCCCCTTCCAGCACCACGATAAGCCTACGGCCTCCGATCTTGTTTCCTGCCCCTAGTCGGGGCCGCTTGGGTGGCACAGCATCCCAGTCCTGTGCCTGCTCCCCACCGCTTCGTTCACGAGGCTTGAATCCACCACTGGGCGCAGCCATCTTGTAACCAGACCGGAAGTTGCGCTAACGCTCTTAAAAGAGAACAGTGAGGCTTCTAATCACAAATTTCCTTCCGGCTGCCATTTTGAAAGTGGGCTTGTAAAAGGCGATGACTTGCCGTCTTACGCTGCCCTCCCGCAGCCCTCCAGAAAGGGGCGGGACTTCCGTATGCGCTCTTCCTGTGCGCGAAGTTCGGGTCGGTAGTGGGCTAAGGGGGAGGGTTTCCAAGGGAGCGCACTTCCGGTGCCCTTTCTTTCGCCAGCATTACGGGCCCGAACCCTCGTGTGAAGGGTGCAGTACCTAAGCTGCAGCGGGGTAGAGGCGGGCCGGCACCCCCTTCTGACCTCCGGTGCCGCCGGCCTCAACATCAGACATGGCCCAGAACTTGAAGGACTTGGCGGGACGGCTGCCCGCCGGGCCCCGGGGCATGGGCACGGCGCTGAAGCTGTTGCTGGGGGCCGGCGCCGTGGCGTACGGTGTCCGCGAATCCGTGTTCACTGGTGAGCAACCTTCGCCTGCTCGCCGGACGCTTCCAGTCCCTCCCCCAAACCACTTGCCCTATCTCACCGGTCCCCGCGCCCCACCACGAGCCTAGCTAGCATTTACTCTGAGCAGCGGCCTGGCCTGATCACCACCCCTCTCCCCACAGTGGAAGGCGGGCACAGAGCCATCTTCTTCAATCGGATCGGTGGAGTGCAGCAGGACACTATCCTGGCCGAGGGCCTTCATTTCAGGTAATGGCGGGCAGAGCTTACTGACCCTGACCTTTCACCCTTGACGCCGACCCAGCAGTGGCTGTAGTGGGACGTGCAACAGGATTCAACGCTGCTCTTTTCCCTCCCTCCTCATCCCTGCTCCTAGGATAGTGGGTGCTGCGCGAACCTCCAGCACCATATGAACTGTTGTTTTCCAAAGGGACAAGAGACTCTCTCCTTGTCGGTGGTCATGGGGAGGAGCAGGCCAAAAAACGCGTGGTGAGGGGAAACCGGGCAAAGCTAGTGAAACTGGGCTTTTTTGGGGGAGGGGGGCGCGGGAGTTTTGCTGTGTCGCCCAGGCTGGAGTGCAGTGGCGCGATCTCGGCCCACTGCATCCTCCGCCTCCTGGGTTCAAGCGATTCTCCTGCCTCAGCCTCACAATTAGCTGGGATTACAGGCGCCCGCCACCACGCCCGGCTAATTTTTGTATTTTAGTAGAGACGGGGTTTCACTATATAGGTCAAGCTGGTCTCGAACTTCTGACCTCAAATGATTCGGCCGCCCAAAGTGCTGGGATTCCAAGCGTGAGCCACCGCTCCTGGCCGAAACTTCGGCCTCTTAATACCTATCCCTGTCCCCTCCAGGATCCCCTGGTTCCAGTACCCCATTATCTATGACATTCGGGCCAGACCTCGAAAAATCTCCTCCCCTACAGGCTCCAAAGGTAGGTCTGAGCACTTGGTAATCACATGGCAGGTGGGATGATCAAGGGAGCTGGCAAGAAACCCCAGGTGAAGATGGTAGTGTCAGGCCTTTAGGCCTTAGTTTCCATGTCTGCAAGAACTGTAACAAAAATACCTGCCTCCCGGGGTCAAAGCAGCACATTCTGAACACCCTGTGTTTGCGTGCTTTCTACTGTCTCGTCCCTGACATATTCAATAAGAGTATTGTTTGTCCCTTGTCTTATTCACTGCCTAGATCAAAGCCTTGTTTTAAAGCCTTTTTTTCTAACTGCTTGACTTACTATATCTACAGTTACATCCACTAGTATACTCTGTTCTGGAGAAGTTTGTCCCTACCCTTGACTAGTTCACCTGTTCTCTCCTTCTAGACCACACATAAAAGCCATGCCTCTGAGTTCCCCAGGCCTCTTCCTCCTCCCCACCCACCCACACACACACACATGCATACACCCTGGGTGAGGTAGGTCACCTGTAATCTGTAATGTACTTCTTTGTACTATACCTAGTGCAGGTGGCTTATTCATTTACTAGACTGCTGGGCCCTGGAATACAAGATTCATTAAGCACATTTTTGTCCCCCAAGTCCTTACAGGAGACGTGATTACGGTACAGCGTGAAAGCACCCACGTTAGAGGTTGCATGGAGTACAGAGGGGTAAAGAGCAGTCAGCCCTGCTGGTGACGGGGTTGCAGTTCCAGGCTTCACAGTGGGTGAGGGTGCATTTCACCTGTGCTGCCTCATGTCTCCCTTGTCAGCCTGATTAACTCTCCTCCCCCCAGGGCAGTGCCAGGCTGTACGTCATTGCACAGGGCATATAGGGAGGAACATGAAGGAGAAAATGCTTGGGAAAGGGTGTTTGGCCTTGACCAGCCACTGCTGACCTCAATCTCAGACCTACAGATGGTGAACATCTCCCTGCGAGTGCTGTCTCGACCCAATGCTCAGGAGCTTCCTAGCATGTACCAGCGCCTAGGGCTGGACTACGAGGAACGAGTGTTGCCGTCCATTGTCAACGAGGTGCTCAAGAGTGTGGTGGCCAAGTTCAATGCCTCACAGCTGATCACCCAGCGGGCCCAGGTCTGACTCCCACCACCATCTGCATGGTGTCAGCCTTTCCCTTCTAGGCCCAGAGTACTGGGAATTAGGAAAGGCAGCTTAGTAGAAGAGGATTGTCACCCTAGTGCCATTTCCACCTAAAAGCTGTGCTAGTTGCCACTGTGAAATAAGGAGAGCCAGCATTAGAACTCGGTAGCACTTGGTATGAGGAAGCACAGAGGAAAATGGCCACGTATTGGCTTTTCCTGCACCTCTTTCAGCAGAGAAGCTTATGTTACAGGTGTGCCTGACAGGAAGCTAAGGCAGCGCATATTGTATTGAGAGAGTGAAGGATTAGGGGTCGCAACCCAGTCCCCTCAAACCACCCTTCCCCACCTCTGCCCCCAGGTATCCCTGTTGATCCGCCGGGAGCTGACAGAGAGGGCCAAGGACTTCAGCCTCATCCTGGATGACGTGGCCATCACAGAGCTGAGCTTTAGCCGAGAGTACACAGCTGCTGTAGAAGCCAAACAAGTGGGTGAGTCGCAAGAGCAGTGGGGTGAGGGCTTCTGAGATGCAGGAGGAGGAAAGACTCCGTGGATGGGGCTCCTGACGCAGCACACAGTCTCCCTGACTCTCTCCCACTACAGCCCAGCAGGAGGCCCAGCGGGCCCAATTCTTGGTCGAAAAAGCGAAGCAGGAACAGCGGCAGAAGATTGTACAGGCCGAGGGTGAGGCCGAGGCTGCCAAGATGATATCCTTCTGCGTGAGAGGTCTCGGCCCAGTCCCTAGGGCGCCTGAGTTCCCCATCCTCCTTCACGGGCAGGCTGATGAGACTAAGGCGAATGCGACTCTGTGCTCTCTGGCCCTTGGCTCCTTGTTGCAGGTGGGGGCTACAGATGAGATCTGAAATCTTAGCGGGGGTACCTGAGCCCTGACTCCCCACTGTAAGGCCAGATCAATAGCATTGCTGGCCTTGCCTTCATTTCTGCTGCTGCCCCTAGTTCCTGGCAGCAGCCTGCAGGGAGGCCCACAGGTGGGGTCCAAGGTAGAGCGGGCACAAGCCACCTGAGCGCAACCTTGGATCTGACAGCCCAGAGGAGGACTGTAGCAAGGGAGTGTGGTAAGGACGGGGCCAGGGATTGAGACCTGCCCTTGTGTGAACCTTAACCCTCCTCACCTTGGAGAAGCACTGAGCAAGAACCCTGGCTACATCAAACTTCGCAAGATCCGAGCAGCCCAGAATATCTCCAAGACGGTGAGTGTGTCAGCCCAGCATCTCTGATAGGGCTGCCTTGAGAAAGTGCTTTCAGTTAAGGCACATTGAGGTGAGGGAATTCGAAACTTGCTTGTTCGGGTTTCTACTCAGTGGTTTTATGGCCGGCGCAGTGGATCACCTGAGGTCAGGAGTTCAAGACCCACCTGGCCAACATGGTGAAACCCCATCTCTACTAAAAATACAAAAGAAAATTAGCCTGCTGTGATGGCGTTTAGCTATATTCCCTGCTAAGGCAGGAGAATCACTTGAACCCAGGAGGCAGAGATTGCAGTGAACTGAGATCACACCACTGCACTCCAACCTGGGCAACAGAGCAAGACTCCATCTCAAAAATAAATAGTCGGGCGTGGTGGCTCACGCCTGTAATCCCAGCACTTTGGGAGGCCGAGGTGGGCGGATCACAAGGTCAGGAGTTCAAGACCAGCCTGGCCAAGATGGTGAAACCCCGTCTCTACTAAAAAAATACAAAAAAAAAATTAGCTAGGCGTGGTAGCGGGCACCTGTACTCCCAGCTACTCAGGAGGCCGAGGCAGAGAATTGCTTGAACCTGGGAGGTAGAGGTTGCAGTGAGCCGTGATAGCGCCTCTGCACTCCAGCCTGGGCAACAGAGCGAGACTCTGTCTCAAAAAAATAAGTAAATAGGCCGGGCGCAGTGGCTCACGCCTATAATCCCAGCACTTTGGGAGGCCGAGGTGGGCGGATCACGAGGTCAGGAGATCGAGACCATCCTGGCTAACACGGTGAAACCCCGTCTCTACTAAAAAAATACAAAAAGTTAGCCGGGCGTGGTGGCGGGCGCCTGTAGTCCCAGCTACTTGGGAGGCTGAGGCAGGAGAATGGCATGAACCCGGGAGGCGGAGCTTGCAGTGAGCCGAGATCGCGCCACTGCACTCCAGCCTGGGTGACAGAGTGAGACTCCATCTCAAAAAAAAAAAAAAAAACTAAGTAAATAAAAAATAAAAATAATAAATAAATAAATAAATGGCTTCTCCAGTACTCTTCCCCTCATCAAGAATGATTCCTCTGGACTTCCTGACCTTTTGTTCTTGCCTCTGTTACTTTGCTAATAGTCACAGCTGCTGCTCACTGCTCTGGATCCCTAAATGAGAGTAGAAACCATGTCTTATTCATTGCTGTATCCCTGCACTAATCTGCATGTGTTCCATTAAGTGGCTACTGAATTGCAGGGGTGGAATTGAGGTCTTTGTATTTCCTGCCCTGTAGATCGCCACATCACAGAATCGCATTTA